CCCCGGGCCCCCCGCCCCCCCCGGCCGGGACCCCAATCCCGGCGCTCCTGGAGGGGGCCCGCGGGGGGCTGGGGTGCAGCCTTGGGTCCCGGCTCCCGGCCTCTGTCCCCAGAGCAGGGGGAGGGCTGGTGTCCCTGCCCCGAAGCGGGGCGCCGGGGTGGGGAAGAGGTGGGCAGGGCGGAAGCTCCCGCACAAAGAGGACAGCGTCCCGCACATGGATCGAATTAAAGTCCCCGGCGGCGCCCCACAGTGACCCGGCCAGCCTCCCGGCTGGGCTGCTTGCGGGAGGGCGCCGGGTTTCCGGAGCTCCGGGGAGCTCCGGGCCTCTTCACCCAGGCCGGGTCAGGCGGGGGGATGGAGGGGCCCCAGGGCCGCCCCTCTCTGGGCCTCAAATCCCCGTCGGGAGCTGGGAAGGGGTGTGCCGTGGGGCATCTTGGCCGAGATGGGCCCCCAGCCCTGCTCCGGGGACCCCGGGAAGAGCCCGGGCAGCGCCCAGATTCCTGATCTTGAGGACGGAAGCCAAGTCGGGTCCTCCCAAATCCCCCAAGCCCGCTGGGCCCCTGGGGGCTCCTCCCCATCAGGGGCTGGATAACCACCTGGCCTTCTCTTTGCACTTACCAAGTACCAAGATCTGGAGCGCTCTCTCGCTCCTTGTATTCTCTCAGCCAACCACCTTTCAGGACAGACATTTTTTTATTCTCACTTTAGGAAAAAACTGAGGCCCAGAGAGCGTCAGTAACCTGCTCTGGGTCACCCAGCAGGAAAGAGGTGGGGCCCGGCATGACTCCAGCTCTCTGTGCTTCCTTGGCTTCCCTGAGGTGGGGGAGAGGGAAAGGGAACCCTACCCAAGGTTGCAGGGCCCTCTGCAGGGGGTGGGCACAGCCTCATTCCCACCTCCAGCAAAGTGTCATTCTGAACCAAGCGTAGGTTGCTTTGTCGAAGTACTAAAGAACAAAGCTTACAGGTGGTTCCAGAAATTTTTGGAGGGGGTTAGAAGGAGTAGGAAGGAAGGGAAAGAGGGGGGCCACTACCGGAAGGCTGGCCAGCTCAGCCAGCCTGTCTCTGCCCTGGGCTACAGCCTAAAGCCGGGCTGGGTGGGTGGCTGGCTGGATCTCAGCCTCCTTCCTTCCTCTTGACAGGAAATGACTTTCTTTCCCTTTGTTCCCACTTTCTCTGCTTACCCAACTGGATCTCAGATTCCCCCTCTGCGGGAGGAAGGATGGGGGTGGAGGGTCCTGTGGGTGCGGCTGGCCAGGAGCCCCACACAGGGAGCTTTCTCACTCATACCCCGCTCCAGGGTGACCTGGGGGCAGTGGGACCTGAGGGAGGCCGAGGCTCCCTCTCCTAGCAGCCCCGGGCTGGACTGACAGGCTTTGAAAATCCCCAGTGGGGGCCCCTTCCCCTGGGGCCTGAAGTCCCTGCAGGAACCGCAGGGAGGGATGGGGGGTGCGGAGCTGCCCAGCTGTGAACATCTGGCCTCAGAGCGAGGACATTTGCCTTGGATGTTTTCCGAGAAACCCACAGATCTGACTTCCCGGAGGGGTGGGCTGGGGTGGAGTGGGGGTCAGAGCAGGGTCGGAGGGAGGCGGCGGGGGCATTCACAGCAGTCTCTGGGGATGAGCCCAGAATGCACTGACCACAAGAAAATCTATCTGGATTGGGCCATTCTGGGGTGAGAACAGGCCTGAGGATTTGGAGGCCCTGTACCATCCAGGGAAGGAAAAGTGTGTCGTCTCAGGTCCAAGGACATCCCCGGGACTCAGGTCAAATGGTGCTCAGTTAGAATTCTGAGTCTGCCAAGTCTGCTAAGATGACCTGGAAAAGTCACGTAACCTCTCGGGGCCTCACATGGAACTACCTGTAAAGTGGGGGCATAAGGGGCTGTGTTGCAAATGAGGTGCGTTTTGAGGCTCGGAAAGCACGAGCCACAGTGCCCAGAACATAGCAAGTGCTTGGTCAGTAGGTGCCAGTGCTGTTTTCTCTTGGATGTGAATCTCTGAACGCTGCTTACAAAAATAGAGCCTTAAGCTTATAACCGAGCGTAAGGCCAAAGTGTCAAACCATATGGTTTTGACCTCTGACTATGGCAGCCAATATCAGCGAGCATATATCCTTCCAGACATCACTTACAGAACAAGATGCAAAAGGAAAGCACTTTTAAAGCTTTCTTCACATGTTGGTTTCTTATTCAGAACAGGTATTTTATTAATCAGACTGAGCTATATGTTTTAACCAAACATATAAACCAGTTTAAGAGGAACTGAGGCACATTTGTTGTGTTTGTTACTATTATTCCCTCAGTCACCAAGAGAGTCCAAGGTGGCCAGTGGACTTTGAGATACAGAGGGGGGCCCTATGAGTGGTCACTTGGGCTCCAAGTCCGCCACTGGGGTCCCTCAGGGCCCTCAGCCCCTACCCACCCAGCCCCACTTCTTGAGATTCACTCACTAGGTCCTCGTTTATTCTTCTCCCTGCACACTTGTGGGCTGGGCTTTGGAACCATATCCGGGTGGCTCAGCTGGAGAGTGAGTTAGAAAGAGGAGAGACCCAGCTTAGAGACCCAGCTCAAATTGGGCAGAAGCCCTGGGAGCCCAGTGAGGACCCCTGGCTGAAGGTGGTCAACTTGCCCTCCCCCCACCCGAGTGGCCCCACCTCAGCCTTGGCCTTGGAGGCTACTGTTTGCAGTCACCACCTAGAGGATGGAAAATGGGCTCCTTGACATCAGGAATGCTGCCCTGCTCCCAGATCCATGCTCTGATGTCCACACTGGCCTTGGGTCACAAAGATTACGGGTACAGCTGAAGTCACATACAGTCACTTGGGGAGGTAGGGGTAGACGTGGTGACAGGGAGCCAACATGTCCTGTGATGGGCTGTCATCACCCTGTGGAAGCAGACAGCTGCTCCCAGGAGGGGGTCAGGAATCAGGGGAGGCTTCCTGGAAAAGCTGGGCCTCTAAGAAAAAACTGACATTCGCCCTTTGTGGGGCTGGGGAGGAAAAACAAGGGGTGGAAACACTCCAAGGCCAGTAAGAGAAAAAGTTGAGAAAGGGTGAGCGGGTCCAGGGTGGTCAAAAAAGAAATTGAGGGGCACCTTGCTGGCTCAGTTGGAAGAGCGTGCAACTCTTGATCTCAGAGCTGTGGGTTCAAGCCTCATGTTGGGTGTAGAGATTACTTCAAAATAAAATCTTTTTTTAAAAACTTTTTTAGAGAGTGAGGGAGAGGAGGTGGGGGAGGGGGAGAGGGAGAGAGAGGGAATAGTAAGCAGGTTCCGTGCTAGGCATGGCTTGATCTCATGACCTGAGATCATGACCTGAGCCAAAATCAAGATTCAGACCCTTAACTGACTGAGCCACCCAGGCACCCCTAAAAATAAAATCTTTTAAGAAAAAAGGAAAAAAGGAAAAAAAAAAAAAAAGTTGAAGCCAGAGGAATTTGGACTTCATTTTGAAGGTAATAGGGAGCTATGGAAGGTTTTTGAGTACAGGAGAGATAGACTTATGCTCTGGAAAGATCACTCCAGGGACAGGGCAGGAGGCAGGCAGGACTGGAGACCACTGGGTCTCCTATCCCTACCTCACCCCAGTGCCTGAACCAGAGCCTGGTTTTGGAGATGGGACAGAGTGAGAGATTCTGACAATAGAATCAAGACTTGATTGGATGTGGAGGCTGATACCGAGAAAAGGATGCCGGCGGTGGGCTGGGCTGGGAGAGGGTGACAGAGCCACGTGGTCAAGAACATGGACCCTGGATTCAGATCCCGGCTCTGCTGCTGCATGACCCTGAACAAGGGACTACACCTTCCTGAGCCTTGGCTTCTCCATCTGCCCGGAGAGTTATAGCGCCTCTCCCCCAGCGGCTGGGACGACTTAGGAGTGAGTGGGCCGAAAGTGCTTAGGACGGTGGGTGCAGAGTAGGCCTCGATCCATGGTAGCTCAGATTGATCTTCTGTCCCCTCTGCCTCCAGGAACCCAACCCTGATGCTCTGACCGGTCACGCTCATTCCCTCCCACAGCAGAGCTGGCCTGGATCCCCCGGGACTCTGACCCTCCCAGGAGGATTGGGTTCCAGGTGAGGGAGGTAACTGGGGTGTGGCCCCGCAGCAGGCAGGGCCCTGGGCTGGGACCAGCAGGCAGCTGCCCTGGGGTTGGGCAGCTGGAGGAGCTGCTCCTTCCTCACGCTTCTCAGATGAGGAAGAGTAATCATTTGTGAGGTGAGCAGGGCAGGGCTGCCCTTTGCTTCCCCGGGTGCGCAGGTTGGGGGCAGGGGCGGTCAGGACTGCTGGGTCCCCTCCCTGTGGCCGAGCCACCTGGTGGACACCTGCCCTCCCCCCGCAGGACATCCCCAGCCCCTCCTCTGTCTCTGTCCTGTTAGGAGCAGGGAGGCTCCGTGCCCTGGGGATGCCTGTCTGGCTAGGAGGAGCACAGCCCTGGACCCGAAGCCCTGCCCCAGCCTGAGCCCCACTCTGTCCCCAGCCCCAGCAGGAACCGAGACAATGGCCTCGAAGCCAGGGAAGAGGGTCGCCTCGTCTGTCTTTATCACGCTGGCCCCTCCGCGGCGAAACATGGCAGTGGCCGAGGAAGTGAAGCGGGCGGCTTGTGAGGCCCGGCCTGGCCGCCCCTGGGAGCCCCCTGCTGCCGTGAAGGCGCCCGGGGCTGGCTCGGCAGGGAGGCCCAGCCCTTGGACCCCCCCTGCCAGGGCAGCAGCCACCGTGCCAGCCGTACGACCTCAGCTCTCCAACGGAGGTAAGAAGGTGAGGGGACGGGGCAGGAGGCTGGGTCAGAGGCAGCGCGGAGGTGGGGAGGAAGGGACAGGCTCTGAGCTCATTCAGGTGTCCATTCATTCATCGAGCACCTACTGTGTGACTCAAGCCCGCCTGCCCGGGTTTGAATCCCGGCTCTTCCACTTGGCTGTGTGATGTTGGCAAGCCACGTACCTTCTCTGGCCAGTGGGCAAAGCAAGTGCAGAGGCCCTGAGGCAGGAATGGATTGGGCACGTTGGACCTCAAAGGTGGTTTTATTCTCTCTCAAGCTCTGCCATTCACTTGCTGTATGGTCTTAGGCGAGCTGGGTCTTTGCTTGGTTTCCTCCTCTGGAAAGTGGAAATTTGGTCATGTATGTGATGCATCCATCACAGAATGGATATGCTTCATACATGGCTGTTCCTTTACCTTGAGCTTGGCTCTGCTGTCATGGTGTTGAAGAGTCTTGGAGACTCCACTCCATGGTGTCTTAGCTGTTGGTTGGGTAGAAACGAGGAAGGAGGACAACCCTGGGGCAGGGGGATGGCTTGCCGTACAGGACACCAAGTGGAATAAGGAGGCACAGAGACATCAAGGACGAGCCCCCTGATGTCCCCCGGGTGCCGAGTTGGGTGTCCTGCTGTCCTTGAGCAAGGTTAGGGTAGCCCTGTGCATCCCCATCACCGCAGAAACCACCTAAAGACCAATAGGAACTGCCAATTCCAGGAGGCCAGAAAAGGGCAGGAGAAGGGGCCACGTGTGTACACACGTGGGAATACATGGACATTCATGTAACAGGCCTCTTCATGTGACACAACCTTGCAAACTCATCTTTCCTTCCTAACCACGCATCCCGAGAACACAACCTCCTCCAGGTGCTTCCATATAGAACCAGGACCACGAGGACCAGAATTCACACAGCAGGACGTGTGATCCAGTGGAAAAAAATGACATCCCTTCTGGGTAGGAGAGGGAGTCCAGGATATATAGTGTAGATGCCCCTAATGCCAACATTTCCAGGACATTTTCATGGGTTATTGGAATATCAGAAGATCCCGGGAGTGTGATAACAAAAGTGGACCTTCCCTGGCAGGGGGCGCCCAGCAGTGGCTGGTCAGCTGGTCCGCCATTTTGTTCTCCAATTTGGCCCATGGGCAGAGCTCAGGGAATCTTGGGGTTCAGCCTCGCTTGAGTGAGACAAGTTCCAGGCGAGCAGCTTGGGCCTGAGTCTGGTCTGACCACAGAGCACAGAGCGGGCCCTGGGGCCCTGCCAGTTGCTTAGACCCATCTCAGCTGCAGGCTGTCATATGACACCCCAGCTAGAGCTTGTCCCCTCAGGAATCCACACACATTTTTTTTTGGCCCTTTCATCCTGACAGAGGTCCCCACCTTTCCCTCGCTCCGTCCCCACTCCCCTCTAGATGCTCATGTGCACTGATTCAGCCTCACCAACTTGCATTCAGAAGTCACTTTTTCTCTGGGCTTCTCTTTAAAAGTCTGCTCTTAAAAAAAAAAAAATTTAATTAAAATAAATAAATAGAAGTCTGCTCTTCCTGCTCCTGGCCACGTGACCCTGGTTCAGCTGGGGCCCTCTGCACACCTGCCTGCAGGCCTCCAGCCCCTGTCTGCCTTGAATTCCTGTCCTGGCCAGGACTGAAGGCAGAGTCCCGGGCGAGGCCTGAGCACTCCTGCTGTCTCTCCGCGATCTGGTTCCTGACTCACTTCAGCTCATCTGGAGCAAAGTTCTCACACTGGAGCAGCCTCAGCTCAGGAGGGGGCTTGTTTAAACACAGCCAGCAGGCCAGGCCCCACCCTGGGTGTTTCTGATTCAGTAGGTCTGCGGTGAGGCCGGAGAATTTGCATTTCTTACACATTTCCAGGTAATGCCGATGCTCTGGTCTGGGGACCCGGCTTGGGGAACTATTGTTCTAGCCCAAAGGCATTAAGCAAGTGAAGCTTGGGGAGTAGAAGCCTAGTTTTCCAAGTGTGGGCTTTGAACCAGCAGCTGCAGCTTCACCTGGGAACTTTTCAAAAATGTAAATTCTCATGCTCTTCCCCCAAGCCTGCTGAGTCAGAAGCTCTGGGGGTGCGGCCCACCATCTGCATCTGAGCAAGCCCCCAGAGGATTCTGTGGCTTACTCACAGGTCTAGAATAATCCTCCCGTCTGTACCCCCTCAGTCCTTGGGAGAAAAGGGAAGGGGCTCATTTTCTTTATCGAATGGATAAGAAACCTCTAAGCCCAGAGAGGTGCCCCAGTGAATCAGCAGGGAATGGGACCAGACCCTGGGTCTTGGGGGGGAGCGGCGGGCGGGCAGGGCCTGGGGCACCTTCCGTCTGCTTTCCATGGGTGTCTAAGGCAGTCTGACCTTGTGAGGCCTGGCCTACCTTGTGCCCCAGAGATAGGAGGGGAGTGGAGGGCAGACTCAGACCAGATTCCCTGCCCTTTCTCCCCCGGGCACTATTAATAGCACTCTCCCTGCACGTGGGAGCCGACAGGATTTTCGGGGCGTGCTTCCCTCCTGACCCCCAGGCACCTCCTCCAGGGGAGCTGGGCAGCGCCTTGTTGGGACAGCCAGGAGGGGTGGGAGTTGCCGCACAGTGTAGGGAGCTGTTCCTGGACAGAGCAGAGCCTGGGGCTGAGGCAGGAGCTCCACAGATCCTCAGCCCTCCTCCTCCCTGGGTCCTCCCCGAGGTCCTCCCTGAGCCCTGGATCCAGGCCCCTCCCCTTCTGTGAACCTCTGTAGACCTCAGCTTTCCCAGCAAGAGTTAAGCTCTCCTGGGGCGCCTGAAGCCGCCTGAGTCTCAGGTGGCTCAGTGGTTAAGCATCTGACTCTTGATTTTGGCTCAGGTCATGATCTTGGGGTCCTGGGCTCTCTGCGCAGCGGGGAGTCTGCTCCTCCCTCTTCCTCTGCCTGCCACTCCCCATGCTCCTGCTCTCTCTCTGTCTCTCAAATCCTTAAAAAAAGTAGACTTAAGCTCTCCTGCACTAACCATGAAAATGATATCATGCCGGTGTGTTTTTCTTACGTATGTACATGTGTTTGCTGTTGGGTGGCTCTTTTTAAAATTTTATTATTTTACTTTATTTTTTAGAGTGAGTGAGAGCGTGTGCACAAGCGGGGGAGGGGAAGGGGCAGAGGGAGAGAATCTTAAGCAGGCTCCACTCTCAGGCTCAGCGTGCAGCCTGACGTGGCGCTCCATCCCAGGAGCCTGAAATGACCCGAGCCAAAATCAAGAGTCAGATGCTTAACCGACTGAGCCACCCAGGCGCCCCAGGTGGTTCTTTTTAAAATTATTATTATTTATTAAATTTTTAAAGATATTATTTATTTATTTGAGAGAGAGAGAGAGCACACAAGCACGAGCAGGGGGAGTTGCAGAGGGAGAGAGAAAAGGAGAAGCAGACTCTCCACTGAGCAGGGACTCTGGGATCATGACCTGAGCAGAAGGCAGATGCTTAACCGACTGAGCCACCCAGGTCCCCCAAGTAATATTAATTTTAATGATGTATATTATGCCATCTGCTACAGTAAAATGGTCATTTCAGCAGTAATTACGAAAATTATCAATGAGATATTTTACATTCTTTTTTCAGTCCTGAGTCTTCCCCCACATCTCGGTGTGGACCTGGATGGGTTATTTAACCAGGGCGGTGGTTCCCACACTTCGGTGGCATATTGTCACTGGGAGGGTTTCTTATGCCTTCTGTGGCTGGACACCCCCCACCCCCACCCCAGGTTCTGATTCTCCAGATCGGGGGCAGACCCAGAAGGTGCATTTCTGGACACACTTCTAGTCACTGCTGCTGCTGAGCCAGGAACCACACTTTGAGAACCACAGCCTTAGGGGTTGAGTTTGCTTGTATTTCAACAAGGACCTTCTAGCAAGGATTTGGGGCCCTCGAGTGTCCAGGTAGGGGAGGGCTGTTATGGAGGGTTCTGACAGCTTCTGTTTTCTGAGCCCACGCCACGTGCCCTCTCCTGTGCCAAGCTCTTCCCATCCTCACAACAGCCTGGAAAGATTGATACCCATGTTTCAACTGAGCAAACAGAGAGGTTAAGTCTCTTGCCTAAGGACACACAGCAAGTCAGCGGCAGAGCCAGAGATGGAACCCAGGTCTGGGGGACCCTGGACCTGAGCTCTTGGCTCCCACGCTGTATGGCCTTCTGGGTAAGTGGACACACTTTCTGCCCGCCTGCAGAGACTCAGACCAACCCTCTCTCCCCTTTTGTTTGCAGGATGTTCTCCCCCTCCTCCTACCTTGGATGGCGAGGACACGCTCCCCGACCTGGACCTCCTCCCACCTCCACCGCCCTCCCCTGATGAGGAGCCCCCTGCCTCGATGGGAGCATCACTCATTTCAGACTTAGAGCACCTGCCCCCGCCCCCGCCCCCACCCCAGGTACTGCCAACCCCTTGGTCTCCCCGACCCCCAGTGGAGCCCAGGGGCCCCGGGAAGGCCGGGGGGGCGGGGTAGGGAGAGTCCCGGCCTTCCAGGGATTTAAGCCTGGAGGTTGCTCCTGCTTGAGGGCTGTCCCTCTTTGAAACTTTCTTTTTTTTTTTTTTTTTAAAGATTTTTTATTTATTTA